GCCGAAATCAACTGCTTCAGTATGGAGTATTAAATGGTCTGAATGTTAGGTTCTCAGGAAAAACAGCAGAATAGTGAATCAGAACATGTTTAATATGGAAATACAACAAATTTACTTCCACAAACGTTAACAATTATGTGTTGCAGCATTCCATTTCTAAGCAATCTATCCTTTGTAAATGAAGGAAGATCAAACAGATGAAATGAATAGTTTAGAGGGAAATAAAGTGAGGTAATGGTCATGTAAAAGGATGAAGAGTACTTTTCATCTGGAACCAAAAGACAGTACAAAGATACACTGTGACACCAAAGAAAAAAAAACAACAAAAGGCTCGCTAAGTGCTATAGCTTTCAGATACTCTGACAGAAGGTGAACACAAGCCTTGGGAGAAAAAAAGTACTTAAATATGTGGTTGAAATAAAGTAGCCATCCTTGCATAGAAACAAAGGCAAGTGTCTGTACCACATGGAAAGCCACCAATGTCAGATAAACTATTTATCCATGGCTGGATTGTAGTATCCATCAACTGCGAATATTACAAGGTTACAAAGTAATCAAACGTGTAGGGTAAGTGTTTATCCTTTTTATTCGTTGTGATAGTTAAATAAAGCAGCATAATACTTTTATTCTACATGTGGGGAAAAAGACATTTGCAACTGAAGTATGATTTATAATTAATTCAATAGGTGCAATCTTATTTAAAATAGGGGCCGTTAGTTTATAAATTCCCAAGACTAAAAAAAAAACTTAACAATTTACTAGATTTAACACAAGTTTAAATAAAAGAATATGGAAGACGTGACTGATGGTTTAAACAAAATCTGAAATGAGTTCCAGCTCTATTTATTAAAAGTACGTGGCAATAAAATTTGGATGCTTTAGTCATTATTTATAGAAAAAAACTTCTGATTCAAGAATTTTCCGCTGGTATGAGAAAATGACTAATGCCACTCCATTATTTAAGAAAGGTGGGAAAGAAACCAGGACACAGCTAACGTTTGTATTGGGGATATTATCAAAATCTGTTATGATGGACAGTGTGACTGAGCACATACACAAATATGAACAGATCAGAGAGAAAGCAGATTATCTGTCAACTAGTTGAATTTTTCAGGAGGCCATCATCACAGTAAACAAAGGCATTTCTGCATGGATGTTATTTATTTAGACTTCTGGAAAGTATTAGAAAAAGTTCCGCATTAGAGATCATCAGCAAAAGTGAAAGCACGCAGAATTAAAGGAAAATTGTAAACTGCTGGGAAGGGGATTGGGGGGTGGGGGGGGAAGCGAGAGCAGAAGATGAATAGTGGGTACATGCTCCAAATTGACATGGCGTAACTAGTGGCACCTCCTGGGTATTTGAACTGTAGTCTCAAATTTTCATCATGTTCATGAATAATAGAAAAAAAATGTTGTATATCTAAGTCTGCTGACAAAGTCTGCTAACTTCTCAAGTGGTGTAGATATAAATTGCAAAAAGAGCATGCTGGGTCCACTAAGTGAGCAAAACTGTGGCAGATAGAATTGTGTATGTCTAAGGTCATTCATTTATGATCCAAGGAAGATAAATAGTATTTTTTAAATAGTTAGCAAGTTCTGCCTGAGTTTCAGACCCAAACTTAAGTACAAAATAATTAAAAAGGACTAATGGAATATGGTCTTCAACGCAAGGAAATTAGAAGACAAATGAATGGATTTTATAAACATAAAAGCTTCGGTTAAACAATATTTGGAGCCATATACTCAGGTCTGTCCATCTCTGGAAGCTACATTGGCATTGGAGACTGTTGCAAAGCAGATTCAGAAAGATCTCCGTATAAAAAAGGTTGAAATTATGAGGACAGGTTACATAGATTAAACTTCAAGTATAGAAGCAGTGATCTAATAGGCAGGTTTCAGATATTTAAAGATATGTGAAACTGTAGATTGAGAGAAAAAAAAAAAACTTTCAAAACAGAGACTAATAGTTCTTTTCGCGGTTAAGGAACAGAGAACCAAAAGTGGATAAATGGAGTTAAGAAACCAATAAGCCATGACCAAACTAAACAGTGGAATGACCTCAAAGGGTTCTTATTCCAATGCCTCTAATAGTAAGCTAACATTTTCTCATATAACAATCAAATCAAATAAAAGGAGAGTCCACTAAAAATAATGTTAGTTTTAATGCAAACGTCTTCAGGAAAGAATTCAGTTATTTGAGACATGACTTATTTGGATAGATGTGAATATTTGTTAGTTGTAACAGTTTACTGCAGAAATGTAAAATTCAGCTTTTTTTAAAAAAAAAAAGCACAACTGAACTGCTCACAAGTAAATCTTGGTTATTATTATCACCAGAGGTGGCACCAAAAGTAAAAATAAATCATATGAACAAGACATATTCAGTAGTCATTAGAGCTTTACAGCAGACTTCCCAGACTGCTAAATTTCGAAAATAAAATTTCTGTTTCTTACCTTTGTCCATCTACTGTGCACAATGACACACCCCACAAATCTGGACTAAATTTAGCCAGCTGTGGAATATAATCAGCAACCTTTTAAGAAAAAGAAAAAGAAATACCTGAGTGAAGTGTATCTGCATAATTGGGGAACAAGCTTCCCCAACGTTTAGTTTAAAAAGTTACAGTACTTTACAACTACAACAACACTGCGCGTACAAAGAAAATGCATTACTTTCATGACCTCCCTACATTCCAAGTTTACAACTATTTTTGCTGCTTTTCTAATGTACAACATTATCAAAAGGAAAATAAAAACCTAGTCCCTGCTGGTAAATACATTCAATTTATATCTAGCAGTTTAGAATTCAATTTCTTACTGTACTAAAAATCAATTTCAAATCATACCTTTCCTCCTGACATTTTTTTGGCACTCTCATGAAGACCATCTATATGGGATGCAAATATTTCAAAATCTGGAATGACAAATTTCCTCCTAAATGCTTGCGTGAGCAGTACAATATTGCTTCCAACACATCTAAAACAAAATAGACACATAAAAGGCCTAAAGTTACTGTAAATTAATACAAGAAGTTAAGATTCCATACACATTTGTCACAGAATGAGTTTATGTCAAACATACAAATTTGTCCTAAATTATAGAAGCTTTATTGACCTATTTAAATTATTGTAATAAGATATCACTAACCAAACATTTTTAAAATTATTCATTGCTAGGATATGAGCATTGCTGGCTAGTTCAGCATTCATTACCCATTCCTAACTACCTTGCAGAACCTCTGCAACTAGTATGATGTAGATACACCAATTTGAATGGAGCTCTTATAAGAACAGAGTTTGAATAAGTTTGGTCAAAGCAGCTGCAGCAGTCAGTGGAGTTTTTAGGTTGTTAATGTTTCATCAATGGTCAAATCCATTACTGTGATACTGCATAGTGAAACATTCTTTTCCTTTTTCATTACCACGAGATCAAACCAAATGGTTTGTGATGCAATGTGACATGGGTTCAATTCCTGTGTTGGTGGAGGTTATCATTTAGATCACATATTCTCAACCTTACCCCTTGCCTGAGGTCTGGTGACCCTCAGTTTAAACCACCATCAGCAGTCGTCTCTCTCTCCTTCTGAGAGTAGCCCTATTATTCAATGGGACTAAGGCAACTTTACATTTACCACTTTCCCACCAGTTCAGCATAAACAATACCCATCACATTTCTTTATATATTGACCAATTATTTTCTTAAATTGATTTTCCATAACCACATGTCATCTGCATAGCAGATGATGTTGACAACTTTCCTTGCTACCTACAGAGCATCTCTTTTCAATTCCTCCAAGAATATATTCATTGTACAAGGAGAAACAAGCCAGGGAGAGAACTCAGCTGTGTCTAACACCTTGTTTGAGCACTTTCCAATCATCACTACCCAATTCCAGTAAATATTCCTAATAAATTTGAGTTCTTTCCCAAGTATTTGTATATACTCTCCAGCATTTATGGACATGTTGCATTGGACTTTATCAAATGCTTAAATACAAATCAATAAAACATGTGCATATGTAAGCAAGCATAACTGGCACCTTCTCCCAAGGATTGTAAAGATACTTCATAGTTCATGCTCCTTTATCTTCCACAAAGGCATAGCCAAGTCCCAATTTTCACCACTTGAGAGTACCTTTGTTGCAGCAAAAATGCTAGAAGAGATTGGGAGCCCCGTGTCATGCCCCAAACACACCATCTCCCACTTTCAGAGGCAGGCTCTAGCTGATCATGGTGGTTCCCAGAGGTGGTTGGCAAATCTGTCTTCAAGATAGATACAGATGAGCTGATGCAGCCCTATGGATTTGATTCTAGGGCAAATTGTGGTTGCGATCCTTTGGGATTGTCACCCATAACAGAAGATTGTGTGTACAAGGTACACAACCCCTTGGAAGCATCCAACATGTCAAAAGTCATTCTTTTGATGACAGTGCTTTTCCCAAGACAGTATAGCTTGCAATATAGAAACTTAAGCAATGAGACTATACTTTATGATTTTTTTTTCTCAAGTGCATGTAGTATATGTGGATATTCAATGAATTTGCCATCATCAGGTTAAGGGAAAGAGTGGAAGTCGACATTAAGTTGTCATAGGTGTATGTGAGGGATGGATTGAGGGCGTTAGGCTGCAGGGGTGGTATTGGGGGGAGAGGGGGAGGAGTTGTTGAGAGCTCTGAAGAAATGCCTTATACTTCTCTTTTGTCTCTGCTCATTTTTTTTCTTCTGCGTAAAATTTCAAGGTCTATACATAGCTCTGACTTGTAGTTCCAAAAGCTATTGCTACAAACAGCTTCAGCCATAAATGGACTCTTGCAGCAGCTGTGCACACAGACACCTGAGTGGAAACATTAGTCCCAGACCTGCCCTAGTGAAAGTTAGGCACCTTTTGAGATTGCGAAAAGATATTCTTGTGTATGACAAGTGCTTAAACCCATTGGAGCTGACAGTTGTCAATTAACTTATTTTTCTGAAATGTTAGCTATTGCAGAGTGCATATTAATATAAAACTGTTATAGCATTTGTGCTGCATGAGTGATTTACAGACTGTAATGTCATAATTGGAACCTGAGAGACAACTCCAACTGTTTATTAAATGGAACTGTTCATTGACATCAGACAGAATACATGAATGTTGTTTTCAAGGGCCTAATTGAAACAATTTCAATGCATTGGATTTGTAAGCAAATAGTGGTCTTTTACAATAGTGACATCATCAATAGACAACTTTAGTTTTTGTCAAAATGCCTTCTGATTAACACTCATGGTGGATAACAGGTGCTTTGGCACGAAGAGGAAAGCACATAAAAAAAAGTTTGCACAAGTGCTAAGAGGATATGGGTAGATGGACATCATTTAGCATAGATGGGCAAAGGAGCTGGGGTGAGAACAGGAGGGAGCTTTTCCATTTTAAGCTTTATTTTTAAAACTCCGATCACATCGCTGAAGCCGTAAGGCAAGCTTTCCACTTAGGACTTCCTGAAGAAGTGGCATCCCCTTACAATCTTCCTAGAACTTCGAGCCTGACTCCCAAATCAGCCTCTAGACTCCCACTGCACTCCAGCGACTGAAAATGGGAAACAGGTGGCAATTTTTAAAACGTGGGGTTTGCAGAGCTGAAATTTCTCCAGCCTGTACAGCCAGGGATAGAAAACCAGGATCCCAAGAACCTGAAACCTGTGATTAAAAATCCTCTAACTCTGAACATCAGGATTCTGATAATGGTATTTACTATGTGTTTTAAGATGGATTACTCAATATAACTTCTGTTCTAGTATGCCTCAATTCTTTGGCAACCTGACAAGACTTAGACACAGATAATGTGTTTTAGATCTTGCTGCCAATCAGAACAAACTTTTCAGTCCCTAGCTTTCCTGTTGCTTCTTATGTGACTTAAGTGAGACTTAAGTCATCAGGTTCTAGCGCTTTCCCATTCCTCTTCATCTTCAATCAAAGATCCAATTCTCTCAAAATTTCTGGACTTCTCTTCATTTTATCAAAAGGTTAACTTTGTAATTTCTATGAAGACTTGTTGAGCACGTTAAATTTCTCTTCTATAGTTCAAGACAGCTTCTGTAATGACAGGGTATTGCAGTCAGTTGTTCAAGATCCAGTCTTCTTGGCTTTTTTTTTATTAGAAATTTTCAACTGGCTATTCACTGCTATTTAATTACTGTCACAGTCACTCCAGGATATGATTTTTGACTGTCTTAACAGCTATTTCAAAAACTCCTTATTGTACTAAAGTTGATCTGCTTCATGTTTGGTCATCTGAATTTTTTTCATGTGATTCTTCAAAATTATGCATTTGTAATAACAATTTGATAATTGTGACAGCATTAATTCATTCATATGTCAACTTGGAGATCATGTGGGCCAATATACCATTCACAAAAACAGCCTACCTTGGCATTAACAGTTACCAATACGATGCTGCTACCTTGAACTGCATTATCTTATAACTTGATCCCACTGTTCATGAAAAAATTCAAGAGCCTCATCTTTCATACTTTGGGTTGGGACATATACTTGTCAAAACCTCAAGTTAAAAAGGTGTACCTACTGTTCTGACAAGGAGAATTTTCTCCAAAACTTAAAGTGCTGTCAAAATTTTCCTCAAGATTCATGGTGACTTGTTTTACATACCTACTAAAGAGTACTTAATGACTCCACAAAAATATTTTCACTCAATTCTTCTTTTCTTCAAAACTAACCCCATGCTTTTCAAAGATTTTCGCGAGATTTGGAAAAAACAATCAAATCCTCTATCCTGCTCACTCATTCCCTCCTTTTTCGTACCCTTTCCCATGGAACAAACAATAAAGTTCATGAAATTAGAGAGCAAATGGATCATCAAAACACAGTACCTATCAGCTTTTCAGATCAGGGAATATAACAGTTTTACAAAGCTTTACTTTTTAAAAAGTTCTTTGTCCAGCATTACACCATCAGACGCTGCCTGCACATTTGTTCTAAGCATATCCATGCATTCTTTCAGTCGAGGATCTGACGTACGCAGTCCTGTGGATTTCAGAACCTATTTGAAAACAAAAAGTAGTATTCAAATACAAGTTCATTCTTATACTCAAGTTCTTTTTTAAATTGAGGCAAGATATGAGAAGTCTAGATGGCACATCACGTTACCAAACTGTCTTGTCACTTGAAATTTGGGTTCAAAACCACAGACTGGCAAGAAGTCTACTTCTCTCTGCCCTACAAGAAATTCATTTGGGTAATTTCAATCCTGTTTCCATTAGACATGAATTTACAATACAAAATAATTAACATTCTATCACATTGGCAACATTACTTAGAAGGTAACTTAGTCTGGGAAAATGTTATAAGGTAAGCAGCAATAAGACATTTAAGGAGATATTTCATGATTGATTATTGCTTTCTTAATGGAACAGATCTTTAAGGAAACGAAAGTGAAAGTGAGAAATTCACCATAATTCTAGAGGACACTTCCGTCTCTCTCATTGGAGAGAAACAACTGGTGGAGTTTTAACTGGAGAGTCACTATGCCTTAGTTGAGGGTGAGGTTGAAAAAGTAGGGCCTTCATAATGACTCTAGCCAGCACTGGAATTACATCTGCATTGGTGAAATCACTCTTACATTGCTAACCAGCTGTCCAGCCAACTGTCTATGGCAAAGTAAGGAATTTAAGAAAGACATCAAATTGGAAAAAACTTAAGGCTGTGGAGATTTGCAGTGGGCTAAACCAACTTAGGATGACCAAAAAAAAAATGAAGAGGAAGAAGAATGAAGGAAAACCAGCAGGGGAGAAAAATGGAATGAAAGCTTCAAAAAAAAAATAAATTACAAAAGGTGTGATCCCTTCGAAGATAAGAAAGGGAAACAAATAAATGACAGAGCATAGATACAAAATGCTTTCTCCATCTTTACAATAAAATACAGAGAGTCTGGAAAATAGAAGAAACTCAAGAGACTTTAAAAAAAAACAGTACAGGGGAATTTAAAATGATCTGAAGAGAAAGGTACTACAGAAACTAATAGGATTAGTCTGACCTGTCCCCTGAGCCTGACTGTTTGTAAAAGACATAGCTACAGAGGTAATGGAAGTGTTGATTGTAATCTTACAGAATTATCTATATTGTAGAAAGCTCCTAGCAGATTGGAACACCGGAAATGTAACATCTCTATTCCAAGTAAGGGGAGAGGCAGAAAGCAGTAAACTATAAGCCTGTTAGTCAAATAGGTACTTGGGAAAATGCTGGAATCCATTAAGGAAACAGTAGGGGGACATTTCAAAAATCATAATACAAATCAGGCCCAGTCAATTTGATTTAATGGAAGGAAAATTAGAAGATAAATTTATTGGAGTTCTTTGAGGATATAGCAAGCAGGTTGGCTTAAAAAGGAAACCAATAGATGCAGTGTATTACAAGTTCCAAAAGGCACTTAACACAGCGCTGCACAAACTTACTACACCAGATAAGATGGATGTGATTTATTAGTTTGCATGGAGACATTCTCTTCTAGCCAGTAAAGAATAATTGGGACCATAAGACCAGAAATTAGGCTAGTCAGCCCACTGAGTCTGCTCCGCCATTCAATCATGGCTGATAAGTTCCTCAACCCCATTCTCCTGCTTTCTCCCTGTAACCCTTGATCCCCTTGATAATCAAGAACCTATCTATCTCAGTCTTGAACGTACTCAATGACCTGGCCTCCACAGCCTTCTGTGGCAGTGAATTCCATAGATTCATCACTCTCTGGCTGAAGAAGTTTCTCCTTATCTCTGTTCTAAAACGTCTTCCCTTTAGTCTAAGGCTGTTCCCTTGGCATCTGGATGTTCTTGCACAAGTCACAAACAGCTAGCATGTTGAGGGGGCAGAGTATAAATTAAGGGAGTTTTGCTACAACTGTGAAAGGGCATTGGTTAGTCAACACCTAATGTACTGTACATGATTTTGGTCTCCTTACTTAAAAGTGGAATATTCTTTCATTGTTCATCCAGCTAATGCAATGGGTAGAACCGAGGAATAAAAATGGTGCAATCACAATTACAAAGTTACACAACAGGCCTCCCAGTAATCAGTAGGAGAGAGAAGAACAGATATGTAGGCAAATCATGGAAAGGTATAAAACAGGGTTGTTGCATTTGGTGATTTTAACTTCCCTAATATTGACTAGGACTCCCTTAGAGTCAGGGGCTCAAGGTGCAGCAGAATTTGTTAGGTGTACCCAGGAGGGTTCCTTGAAACAATGCAGATAATCCAGCTAGGGAAAGGGCCATACCAGCCCTTGTATTGGGGAAGGAGTCTGACTAGATGACACAAGATTCAATGGGGGAGCATTTTGAGAACAGCAATCATAATTCCCTAAGTTTTAAAATAGTCATGGATAAGGATGACACTGGTCCTTGAGTGAAAGTGCTAAACTGAGGCAAGACTAATTACAATAGTATTAAGCAAGAAGTGGTAAAATTAGATTAGGGTAGTTGTTTGAGGGCAAATTAAAGGCCAGTTAATCAAAGTTCAGAACCAGCATGTTCATGTGAGGATCAAAGACAAGGATGGCAAGATTCTGGAACCCTGGATTATAAGAGAGACATTGAAAGGTTAGTCAAAAATAAAAAAAGGAAGCAAAAGCAAGATTTAGGAAACCGAAATCAGACAAGGCACTTGAGGAATAGAAAAGAAGCAGAAAAGAACTTAAACAAGAAGTTACAAGGGCTAAAAGGGGCCATGGTATGTCCTTCACAAATATGATTAAGGAGAATCCCAAAGCATTTTATACAAATTAGGAGCAAGAGGGTAGCTAGGGAAAATGGTAAGCTCACTCAAGGACAAAATGAGGGAATTTACACATGGAGCCAGAAGCGAGTGTGGCTCTTAACAAGTACTTTGCATTGGTATTTATCAAGCAGAAGGGCAAGGATTATGGTAAGATTAGGAAGGGGCATGTTGATATTCCAGGGCATTGTGATATTAAGGTGTGGTGTTGAGTGTCTTAAAATTGTTGTTAAATCCCCAGGGCCTGATGGGATCTATCCCAGGATACTGAGGCAACAAGGGAGGAAATTGCTGGAGTCTTGACAGAGATCTTTGTTTCCTCTTTAGCTACAGCAAGGTCCCAGAAGACTGGAGAATAGCCAAATGTTGTTCTTTTGTTTAAAAAGAGCTGCAGGGATAATCCAGGAAATTACAGATTTGTGAAGCTTCCACTAGTGATAGGGAAATAATTAGAGAAGACTCTAAAGGGACAGGATTTACTCGCATTTGGAAAAGAATAGCTTTTTGTAGGGAAAGGTCTTGTCTCAAAATTTGATTGAGGTTTTTGAGGAAATGACAAGATGACTTAAGAAGATAGGGCAGTGGATGTTGTTTACCTGAATCTTACTAAAGCATTTGACAAAGTCGTTCATGTTGGAATTGTCTAGATGATGAAGTCACATGGAATTCACATGGAGTTGGTAAGTTGGATACAAAATTGTCTTGGTCATAGGTAACTGTGAAGGGTTGTTTTACTGATTGGAGGTCGATGACCAGTGTTATTCAGCAAGGATAGTGCTGGGACCTCCGTTGTTCATAATGATTTGGATGAAAATGTAGGTGGTCTGATTAGTAAGGCTGAAGAAAGGAAGAGGCCGTCTTAGGAGAAAAGGCTTAAAAGGTTAGGTACATACTCATTAAAGTAAAGAACGGAGGATACCTTGCTGAAACACCAAATTCTGACAGCACTTGACAAAGTAGATGCTGAACGCTAACTAGGAGGACTGATTTCAAAATAAAGGGATCTCCCATTAAAGACCAAGACAAGAATTTCTCCTCGAAAGATCACTAGTCTTTGGAATTCACTTTCCCAAAGAACATTCGAGTCAGGTCATTGATTCCCAACTCAGACTTGAATAGATTCAAAGACAATGAGGAATGGGCACAAATATGGAGTTAAAGCCAGAATCAGATTAGCCATGATTTTAAATGGCAGAGCAGTCGATAGGCCGTAATGACTGCTGTTATTTCTTTCTACCAATATGGAAAAGAAGGGGTCCAGGCCAAGGGGAGAAAAAAACACTGCTTGATGACCGATATAAATTTCCAGCAACGGCTCAGAGATCATACATTCACTACTGAGCCAGAAGATGTGCGTTTAGGTTCTAAGTCAGACACTGAGCACCAAGTCTGAATTGAGACTGAACACATGCTGTAAATGTCTCCAAGTCATTCTCAATTCTATATTGAAATCACCAAGTTTCTACACCTTCGTAAAGCAAGTATACTTTTCTACAGAGAAAAGTAGCCAGGTCACATAGCAAGTTAAGTTTCCCTCAACATGTATTCAGGTAGCAAAGCAAAGCACAGCATTAGTCTAAGTGTTGCCAGATTTTTGACAGGCTAAGTGATGACTTGTGGAATACCAAATTCCTGCCCTTGAAAACTATTTGATACATATTGTAGTTATTGCAGTGTAAGTAAAAGGATATATGCGAACACTGATGACACAAGGCAGAAAGCAAAAAAGTTAGAGATGAAATATCAGATAGTTGGAACTGTATAGTTGAAAAACCCAGTTAACGCTGAGTTAAAAAGGGAGAAGCCCAACAGTGCATTCAAAAATTCAGAATTTGATCAGGGTGGGGAGGAGTTTGTAAGGCTTAAACTTAGTTACAGGAATATCCAGGGACAAAACCCCCAAGGATCAAATTAAAACAGAAGAATTTTTATTTTGAGCTAATGTAGGTTAACTGAGACAAGAGAGAGATGGGTGATTGGAATTTGGTGCAAAAGAAAGGAAGGATACAACAAAGCGATGTAAAGTTTACACAATAAAAAGGACAGATGAAAGGCTGACCAGGAAAGCACAACAAATTTGAAATTGACTGAAAGAATAAATCAAGATTTCATTTGTTCTACAGTTTTCTGTCAATTAACCGATCTTCTGCTCATGCTAACATACCACTCCCTACAACATGAGCTCGTCAAGTTTTTAGTTTGGCACCTTGGAAATTCAAATGCACTACATCTAAATGATTACTTGGTATGTAATTGAAACGTTGCTAAAAGGAGACAAGAAATGGAAGCTTTTTGACTTTCCCCTCAGCAGAACTAGGATGCAAGAAAGAGATTTGAACAAAGGGATATCATTTTCTACAACACACAAGAGTGTTGATTTGTTGGGCCATCATTGACTTTCTTGTTATATCTCCACGCCAACGATAATTCTCAGATTAGGTATGTAGATTCTAATTGGTCAGGTTGCTGTCATAGGGACATAGCAGAGATTGGCTGTCTCCACAACCCCTTGTTTGTAAAAAGTAAAACATACATATTGGGTACAAATTCCTGTTTCTTACATAAAACAAGCTCCTGTGTATCTATGTATGCTTAACACTACATCTACTGGTTTCCCTTTGAAAACCAAACAAGCAGGTGAAATAAGGAGCCGAATAAAGGACTAGTGTAAGAATGAAGGTAGTCAGGTTAAAAAGTGGAGGCATGTGATTTAATAAACATACAGAACATTGGATTGGAGGTTCAACTCGAGGTTAAAAAAGACATTAAAAGAAGCTAGGCAATCACCAGGACCTTAGATGGCTGTTCTGCACGACTCACATGGGCTTGGATGACCAATGGGCAACAATGCAACATTTTCAACTTTCACTGAAAAGAGAATATCTTGATTCTCCATTTAGAGTGCGGAAGTAAAAACATTTACTTACTCCCCATTCCCAAGCATTCCTTGGAGGTGAGATTTATTGATTGTTTGATAACTCATTAAAACAAGATTACATTTCTTCACCTATGATTTTACTTCAGTACTTAACCGTCTGATAAACCAAGTATTATTACAAAACCAGTGAAACTTACAGTGATGAATTTATGTATTGGAATCTTCTCCTGCCCTTCAGCAATCGTGTAAAAAAGTAGATCTTCAAGACTGGGCAAGAGACCTGCTTTGAGTCTTTTTCTATAGAGAAAAAAAATTGGGGCACATTGAGGCATTGTAAAAAATTTTAGGTAAATTAAACTTGTAACAATTATGTACTTTTAAAGAACAACCTATCACACTTAGTTCTGACATTCAGTTACAAGTTAGAATATCATAGGACAGAGGCAATGTGCTGACCAACATTTCCAGAACAATGAGCTGTACTTTAACAGAAACTTAAACATTTCAGCCATTAAAATACGATGTGTGAATGGTCCAGAATTTGCAGTCAGCTGCAAAATGATGCTACTTATCAGTGACTATGATAAAAGCTGCGCAGAATGATCGAGCATTTTTAGCATCCGAACAGAGGATCTTGATTATCTGTCTGATGTGATCAAGCCAGTTAAGCAGCTAGCCACATTGAAGAATTTTCACAAACAAATAAAAAGCACTGAAAATCTCACTTTTTAAACTCATATTACAGGGAACAAAATAAGGTAGGAATACACAAATGAGGTAACAGTAGAAACTGCAATATTAAAAAAAAAACTTAATCTCAAAAATCGATGAAAATCTACAGAATGATTAAGGAACAGGCAATGCTCCACAATAAAAAATATTCAGGATCAAAGAAACCGCTCAATAGTAATGACATAGGGTTATTAAAAGCTAATTATGCCCAATTTCAGAAGGTGAGACTTTTTGAACGGTTTATATAGCAAGTCCAATACAATGAAAAAATCAAATCAAATACTAAAGATTTTCACCTGCCAGGTCTTCAACAAAACACATGGAAGGCAGAGAACCACTGACAGGTTATGAATTTCCATTTTTTACAGCACATGTTCAAAGTAACAGTGCTGAATACTAATAGTTTCACGGTCAGTGTAACTGCAAAACTTGGGTCCACATTGCCATTCTCCTGACATGCGCTGAAACAAATATAGAAAGCCTTTACTTTCCATGCTCCAAGTCTTTAGATTTACCAGAAATATGAGCAAACTTTCTGATGAGAAGTTTGAAATTATGAAACTATTTTTATATGAGCAGAGAGAGTTTAAAAAACCTTTTGAAAGTTAGGAAGATAGGATAAATTAGAAAAGACAACCTTGCCTAGAGAGACAGTCGTTGGGTCAACAGAGTGAGGAGAAGAATAGGACAATGCTCCTGCGGACGACTGTTAAGAGGAAGCTTTACCATAGGCAGATATCATTGCACCTTATGACAAAGCAGACAAACATTCAAAAATACATATGCCAGCTGAGTGGGCAAAAGCTAGTTTTGGATTGCTCATGCAAAGAGCTAGAATTAAACATGAGAAGCAGAATGGCTTCTGTTTATGCGGCCAAGTTCTACAGCTCATATGTTTTAAGTGAAGAGTATTAGGAAAACCTAAATATATAAAAAACATCATCTGCAGTGTCAATTGCACCCAGCCTATTTTTGTGCTTCTATGGTCATGCAGAAATTACTCAAATAAACGTGATCAATCTGGAATTACAATGTTTAATTAGTAGTGGCCACTAGCATCTCCCTGAAACACAAGGAACATTCCCAGCTTTAATTGTTTCAACTTTGCTACTTCCCAAGTTGCACAAGCACTGCTACTTAGTTAGAAATTATGGCCTGAAATTAGTATTGAGTAAACTGGACAGGAACTCGTGGCATTCACTAGTGTGCAGTTAAATGCTTTAAGCCAGAAGCTGAGGCAAGAGATAATCCTGCTTCTTCATATGGCGTGCTGTTTCAGTCCTTGCCAATAGACCCAGTGCTGAATGAAACCTGGTCATGATGATGTGGCTCAGTCAATCAAGGTTCCCCAATTTGTTAAAGTTTAGACAGGTTTCTCAAACCATTAAGCTCTGGAGTAGGAATTAACTGGCTCTCCTTTATTCACTTGCCTCAATTAATCACAGCAAATTTATTTAAAAATGGATTCACTCCTTTGTCAAAACTTTTCTCCCAGAGCCAAATGAACTTGTGCTTGAAAGTAACCAAGACTTTCTTGAGTTAACAAAGGGCAAGTCAATTAACTACTAAACACAAGAAGAATTAGTAAGGTTAACACATAGTAAAAATCAGAAGTCCAAAAAGATAAAAATAAACAAAAAAGCTATATGGATCAGACTTGAGACAGTTTGTGAAGAACAGATAGTTGAACACTGCAACAGAAGATAACAGAGGTACTGATGTTGACAAGTGAACAGCCTGTTTCCTTAAATTTTGCAGTTTGGTTGAGAAGCTGTAGTTCTGATTGCTTTCAACTGTGATAGAAGTCCAACATTTAGGACAAGTGTATGCTCTTTTCTTGACCTGTTTCTCTTTTGTCTAGCTGCGAGCTAACCTCTAGCACTCTGTGTGTGTGCGGGGAAAGAGAGTCTTTGCCTTGAAGACATTTGTAGCGTATGGATATAGGTGACTGGTACACATAAGAACATTCAGCCCTATCAGCACACTCCACTAAATTGAAACTGGCTTTTTAACCACTGGCTTTGTGTACTCTTCAAAAAAAAGAGTAAAAAACAAAATCTGCAATCAATTTGGGACACACTTCCCAGAGGGGCTTGCTCTTCAGCAAGGTGGGGGTGGGGGGAAATTAGCTCCTTGTCATCTTTGCAATCACCAGAAGATCACAACTGTCTGTTTTGACTTGCTTCTTGGCACCAACTCCCCTCTCTCATTTTCTCATTAATCTCATCTCATTTTCCAGTCTTTAATTTGCTTTATCTGCAAAATTTAAATCCAATTTATATTTCCAGAACTTCATCTTCCTCAGTCAGCATTCTTCAATCGCATTTGTTTAAACAGCCTTTGATTAATAATCAAAGTTTCAGCACCAATGCAGGTCAGATCACGTTGGGCAGCTAACTCAATATGGCTTTGAGCTGACCACAAAAAAAGGATATTAAAATGACAAAGGATAGATTAACTAGAAAGAGAAAATGGCTAATCCAGCATAATGAAACATTTTGTTAGTTAGTTTGGAGTGGCTCAAGCAATGTTCAAGTCTTTCAGTTTAGCTTCCAAAAAAATCCTGTACAAAGTAAGGCTTGCCGAGTAAGAAGGTTGTGCCAAAATCCACTCAAGACAGGAGGTAGGAATGCCAAATAACCATTCTGCTCGGCCAGTCATGTCCTCTTATTCAGAGGCATCATGACTATTATGTACTTTAATTCCATTTTTCCACTACGATTCTATATTACTTAATATATTCCTTACCCAAAAATATTTCAACAGCCTTGAAAACTTAAATTCAACCCACATCCACAGCCCTTGGGAGGATTAGTTCCAGATTTCCGTTACCTGATTTGTGAAACATACATGTCCTATTTTCATTACTAAAGGTTTGAAAATATTAGTTCTTTTATCCTGGATTGCATATTGCATCTCCATTCCCAAGACTCTGGACAGTGGAAGTAATTTCCTTGCATCTAAACCAAATCTCTTTCCTGTTTAAGTGACTCAAATTATATTGCCTTTTAATCTCTCAAAGCTGAGGGAATACAAAAAGTTAAAACATAAACCTTCAAAGACCAGCAGTCTGCTGAATAACCGATACCACCGTCTTCTATTGAATTACACACACATTCAAACGGTCCACTGAAGTTAGTCATCACTGAATCATCTTGAATTTGTTTTCAACTGCATGACAAAGTTCAATAACAATATTTAAATCCTGCTCATCTTTGCTCTAGCATTACCTATTTGAATTCCATTAAATGTTTTCTTTCCCTGAAAGAATACACTATACCAGTCTCAACTGTTCTTCCAAATATTGTTACTTTAAAACCACAGGACATGGCAACAATAAAATACACCTTCCGAACACCTATGTATAGACTTTCACAATCTGATTGGAAAGGTCAATAAAAAATGAACCTTTCACGCATCTACAGTGAACCACTTTCTTTGAAGAACCATTTTTACCCTCCAACTCACACACCACGCCCACATTCAGCCCAACACCAAAGAATCCTCTCCCCAGGCACTGTCTTGGACATCAAGTAACTTAAATGTTTCATGTACTGAGCAAAATGATACATATACATTAATAGGAATTGTTACTTAGGAAATTGTCTTCTCTAATTTGCACTTTTATGATTAATTAAGAGTTATTGAAACATTTATACATTTATATATTAAATTAAATTTTTGTAAAAGATGGCTCATCTCCTCCTATGCAGCTTGACCTCACCAAACTGTTCAGCTCCATCCGGTGTTTGCTTCCCATTGCTGATTCTGAGAAATTACAGGCTCCCAAAAATATGTAGTGATTTTGGACTTTTGTTCATTCAAAGCACGCTTATTTGCAAGATAAATAGTTTGGACTGCAAAAGATATTACGCAACATTAATTGGTGGAATCAATAATTTACTGATACCCTGTATCACATTTCTTAATACTGAAATTAAGCATGGAGTGAATCAGGTAGCAACATAAAGTGGCATAGGACATTTCTCAACTGCTTAATACACCTATGATTAATGGAGCTAGAGTCCTCCTTTAAAAGATCACAAGTATGCACCATGCTTCATTCTTGGACAAGGTTTTCCCCATGTAAACGCCAAGTAGAAACACTACTTTTATGCTGCTACTGGTGCAAAGATTAGTCTTTATAATGACGTTACTCTAATGAGATTATTCAGATTTCAGTTATGGTTTAGTGCAAAAACAAACCACTACCATTTCACCAAATGGATTTGTAACAGTGTGCTGCACCAGCAGAATTCAGATGAATGAAGCCAGTCCACCGGAAAAAAATATTCATTCATTCAATCAGTAGGTTGAAACAAATACAAGGATAATATTAAATCTTTAAATCGTTGGTGGGAACAGGATTTCCTAAAAATTTTCTTTAAAACTAGGGCTGTATAATACAAGAGACAAAGCTGGTGCTGGATATCAGCATGAGGGAGTATTTGGCAATATAGAGAACATTATTTTATACTTCACATTTGAGATATCTTCTCAATATACAATACAGGAAAATACCCAATTACAGTTGCGAATCTGTTCAGGGAGTCACTTTTCACAGCCGGGAACAAAACAAAAATTGATTTCTTCCCTTAAG